AGCTCCTAGAGGGCAGAGCCAACCCTTCTGTGGGAGCCCCTTCCCAAGGGTGGCGCAGTGGGCGGAGGCTGCCCCTTCAGCCTCCTAAGCTGAGGTCAGACAAGGCCTCCAGGGGGTTGTGCTGGCTGCCCTCCCCCTGGGTGCTGGCTGCCTCCTCCTCCGGCTTCAGCCCCGGCATCCTTTAAAAAGCCAGCGCCACCTTAGAGCCGGGTGATTGAATCCAAGACACTGGCCTTTTATTCATGTCTCTGCCAACTGCTGTTTCAGGCTCTTGTCAGACACACTGATGGCTTCCAGCAGGACACGGGTAGATTTCTGACTATGAAATGATTGTGTTTCCACAGCAGCCGCAGGCAAAACGGGAAGGGTTCAACTGGCTTCCTGTCCTGGAACATCTGGGGATTTTATTACACGTCACTGTCTGTGACAACCTCTGGGCCTTTGGAATATTCCGGCACGACTGCCTGCTCCTTGGGCTCATCTTGACTCAGCCACAAGATCCTGGGCAAGGCCGTGGTGCCCTGGACAGGTCAAGAGCGGATCGGGACAGGGTTCGCAGCGGCAAGGGGAGGGCTTCTCGCAGGGAAACGCAGTCTGCATCGCCATGACCATGTCTCGGGGCTGCCCAGGGCAGGTCCAAGGTGGGTCCAAGCAGGCTGGTGGGTTTCTGGGTGTGTCATTTGCTCTCCCCGGTTGTGTGTGCGGGCACCGCCCTTGGAAACCCTGGGCCCTGCTTCCTCGCTGCAGCTGGAACCCTGTCCTGTAGGGTCCTGAGCTCGGAGGGGCTGTTTCACTCTGAGCCTGGCTGGGTCCTCCGGGGTCTCTTCTGGGCGACAAGGGCAAACTCGTGGAGCTGCAGGATTTTGAGAGTTGCAGGAAACAAGACCTGAACTCAAAATAACTTTAAGACACAAAGGAAGTTTGTGGAGAGTCCCTGGAGGAGCTGGCCTCAGGGACTTCAGCGACCCAGTCCCCTCCTACTGTCCACGCCTCTTTCTCTCCTCTGATGGATGGGACTCCTTCTGGGCCTGGCCTGGCCATACAGCACCCCACAGCCTGCATGGTGGCCCAGCCGGGATACCTCCAGCCCCAGTGGCAAGAGGCCCCCCACTGATGCTGCGGAGGCAGGAAGGGGCGGGATACAGCCAGCGGCAACCATACCCAGCGTCCACCACACCCCCAAGACCCCCAGGTGGGGCCCCGAGGTGGGGACAGGAGTTCCAGCCCAGGCCGTGATGCCCAGTGCCACATGCGCCCGGCGAGCCCCTTCAGCGTCGTGGGTCTGTCCTTCAGCCACAGGATGGGAACATGAGGCAGCTGCAGGGCAGCACCTGCAGCCATGGCCAAATTCAGCCTGCCCGTGTCTGACCACAGGCTAGGAATGATTCTAACATTTATAAATGATTGGGGGAAAAGAGAAGGCTTTGTGACACGTGAAAGTTAAACAGAATTCCCATTTCCGGGTCCGTAAACACAGTGTAATTGGCACAAGCCACACCCACTCTTCCACTTCTGTGGATGCTTCTGGACTTTGAGGGCAGAGACCACGAGGCCCCTTCCAGAGACGGGGTGCTGACCAGAGGCCCCTCCCAGAGACAGGGTGCCGACCGGAGGCCCCTCCGAGAGACCGGTGTTTATCACTCCGCCGGCTCGGGCTGACTAGGAATTCAGCCTCCGTCAAAAACTCCAGAATCCTTCGTTGTGGTTTTTAGGCCCTACATTTTTTTCTAATATGCAAGAAAACCAATCTGTGACTGTTCAAAAGTAGATGCTAAAATCACATTCCGCTGCAAGCATCCTAAGGCCCGGCCTGATTTGAGGCCTCTTCCCACTGGGTGTCCTGGGGTCCCTGGGTCCTGATGTCCCTTCCCTGCCTGGGCTGTGACGGTCACCAGGCTAGCCAGGCCAGAGCCAGGCTGGGGGCCGGCACTGTGGACGGGGAAGGAAGCTGCCAGGCACATCTGCCCTCCCTCGGTCGGCCCTGAACAGCGAGGTGTTCCATCACATGCTCTGGAAGAAAGGAATTCAAAAAGGTCCAGGCTCTTCGTGCGCTCCTCAGAGGAACAGACGGGCCGCTGGCTTGTTTCCTGGGAGTTTGTGCACGGGTCATGATGGGGCATCTATTTCTCAGGCCCACGGTCTGACCAGTCAATTGTGCTTTGGGGCAGTGGGGGAGCCATCTGGAAGGTGCAGGTGCCTGCTTTCTGTAGGGTTGGGGGTTCACCTCTGCCTTTGCAAGTGGGCCTGGTGGGAAAGGCAGGCCCTGGGGTCTGAGCCACATGGCCTGGGGTTGAGGTAACCACAGGGTTCCTTGGTGGCTGTGGGGGGTGAGGGCTGAGGGCCTCTCAGTACCAACTGGAAGGTCAGGCCCAGCCACCTAAAGCTGCTGGTGGGCTCCAGGGCCTGTGGACTCTACTTTACACCCAAAACAGACAGATGGGGGCGACACCACAGCTCCCCAAGGGGTACGGAGACCTGGGTGGTGTCTGACCCCCTCATTGTGGTCTGGGAGCTGCCGGATTATGGGATGCGAAGATCGTATCTCAGAAACATTCCTCTGGGACTGCTATCTTGGCCCAAGCTGCAGAGTCCAGCGTGGTCATTCCTGGCAGAGCGGTCAGTCAGCAGCGGGCCAGGAAGCAAAGGCTCACAGACCTCACTCCTCAGCCTGCTGCAGGCAGGCGGTGGTCACACTCCTGACCGGAGACTTGGGATTCCTGGATGGTGTGTGCCGTGGGGGCACCGGCACAGAAGAGGCCCTCCAGGGGCAGTGGCTGCCCCTCCCCAAGCAGCCAGGCCAGGTATTGGGTAGGCCTAGAACCTCTTCTGGGCCTCCCACTGCACCATCTCCCAGCCCTGCTCAGTGGGCCCCAAGCCGGGGAATGGCAGCCGTCCATGGCTGACTAGAAGCCTCCGAGTGCAGCAGAGGCTGTGTGGGCTTCCCCTGAGGCAGGCCTGCTGTCCACAGACGCTCACTGCAATCTGCCCCTTGGGAGCCCTCTGGAATGAGGGGATGCAGGGGGAGGCCCGGTGGGAAGCTGCCTGGTCTTTGGGGCAGGTGAAAGAAGTGTCTTCTGTAGGAGGAGGGGGTGGTGGAGCCTCAGCAGGTCCTTGAGAAGGGCCTCCCCGACAGCCAGAGATCCAGAGGAGGAAGAAGCGTGGGTTTAAACAGGGTCACGCCAGGGTCGGGGCCGGGGGGCTGATTCATGAAGGAAGGAGTGGGGCAGGAAAGAGCAGAGGAACCCGCAGGGAGGGCCTCCATCCAGGAGCACAGGGAGGACAGGCCCCTGCTCAGCTGCACGTGACTCGGCCTGAGCGCTTTCTTACAGCTCCTGGGCCTCGCCTGTTCTCATGGGTCACGTGGTGGATGCGGGATTGACCGCGACCCTCCACCCCGCCCAACTCAAGCTGATGAGTTCCCTAATCTTTTGCTCCTGTTGGCAGAAAATAAGCCAGTAACACCCTCCCCTCAGAGAGGCCCAGGGAACCTCTGCATCAGGTCCAGAGGCCCCTGGAAAGATGTGATTAAAATGAAGGAAGCCAGAGCTTGTCCTCGCTGAGCTCCAGTTGGGCACACGCTTTTCATACCCTCTCGGCGACGGGTAACTGGGGCTCTGCAGGCCAATGTCTCAGACCCAGATGAGATGATGCAGTCTGGGCGGCCAGGCACGCTTCCTTCTCCCCCAGCCCTGGAGCAGACGCTAACCCACGTCTGTGGGAGTTCTCACACCCCAAACCCGGCTCCCAGCCAGAGTGTGGTCTGGAGCGGGGTCCAGATCAGAGACAACTTCCAGGAGCTGCTTGAGCTGGGAGTGAGGAGCCTTTTCGGAGGGGGCTGGGGCACAGGGACGCGCCCACGGAGTGAGGAGCGTCTCCGGAGGGGGCTGGGGCACAGGGACGCGCCCACCCAGGTCGAAGAGGCTCCCGGACAGCTCCATACGTATCTACAGGAAGCAGTCAGAGAGTGCGGGCACCTGGCTTCCCTGCACTTTGAACGGACGGCTTGAGACTTGCATGGAGGCCCTTGTGATGTCGTCAGGGAGGCGGACGGTCACGCTGGCCCTTGCTGCAGTGTGGGTTTCTGGGGTGTCTTCTCTGCAGGGAGAGATGCCTGTGGGAAGGGGCTACTCCCCTGCCCTGGGAAGTTCTGACACCCAGCAGACGTGGAGACATGAGAGAGTGTGGCCCCAGCTGTTTATTCAGTTGTTCCTTGGTTTTCTCGTATATTCGTGTGACTCCTGTAGCAAGGGTCCACCATGCACCATGCTCACAAGCAGCCTTTCCAGTCCATAATGCAGCCCCCGAGATGAGGCAAGAGAGGCCCCGGGAGACCAGGGCTGTCGGTGGGCGATGACCTGGCTTTGGTGTGCAGCATTTGCCAGTTCCCATGGTGCAAACACTCCCAGCATGGCCGATTCCAAGCTCCCGACGTGAGGTCACGAGACACCGTCGGGACGAGACACCCTAGTCCATAAACTGGGGCTCCCAACCACCAGCCACAGCTTTGCTGCAGCCCAGGGAGTTCAGCGGTGGTGCAAGGAAGCTGCGTTCCCCTAGTTTGCAAGTGAGAATATTGAGACCTCGAGAGGCGGACAGGCTGCGCAAGGCCACATGTATAGTGAGAAGCAGAACGGACCCAGATGCAGACCTTCCTGTGCAACTGAAGGTCCCTGCCTCTCTCTGCCCTCTGCTGCTCTGGCAAGGTTGGATGGGGGCTGGGGTCCTGGAGACTGGCTCACTCCCAGCAGAAGTTCCAGCCTGCTGCCCCGGGGGCGGGACCTGGGGACTGCCGTGCAACACCAAGTGGCCGGGAGCAGCCCGCTCTTCCTCCCAGCCTCGGTCTCAGGGCCCTGGGCTCCTGCCAGCCTCCCTCTCTCCAAACTCGGCTTCCTTCCTGGGTGCCCTGGGCTTGGAGAACATTCAGGCAGGTTGGGGCAGAGCCCGCAGGGTCGGCGTGCACCCCCAGAAGCCCCCACCCAGGCTTTCTTCTCACATTCCTCGTTTGGAAACAGCAATGTTTGCTTTTGAAGGGCACTGGGGTGTACGCTGCACTTAAAGGAGGACCGCTGAGTATTTTCTTAACAGAAGAGCAAATATTTACGTCTTAGGAACTAAAGGGCAGTTTGGCGTGTGTGGGATATTGACTCTCAACTGGGGGTGGGCAGGGAAACAAACCCTTGGCTGTCTTTGGCCTCACTCAGCCCAAACGAGCGGAGACGTCTCCCTCAGTCTAGGGGCCACCTGGGCCTCTATCCACCTGCAGAGAGAGAAGGAGGGCCGAGTCGGCTGTGCCGGCGACGACTCCTCACCTTGGGGTGACTGAGCAACCCTCGACCAACCCCTCCTGACCACCACCTTCCGCAGCGGGGGCGGTGGGTCCTTCCTTCTCTCTGGCTTTTGCTGTGCCTGAGGGCAGAAACCCTTGCGTGGTCCCCCCTCCAGACCTGTCCACACTTGCAGGTGATGGCCACCAGCCCGGCCACGTGGGGAGCATGACTGCCAGCCTGCTGTGCGTCGGTAAATGCAGCCTGGGTCAAAGGGTCAGGTTATTAAAGGTAAACACACACACCCTCCAAGGCTAGTGCAGCGGGGAGGCAGCGGGAGGAGCTGCGGGGGAGCCCACGGAGAGAATGGAGCCTCCTAAGGACCCCCAGCACCCACTTCCTGGGGGGTGAGCTGCAGCCAGAGCCCCTGGGTTCGCCCAAGCCCAGGATCTGCCTTTGGGGCCCTCTGACACCAGCCCTGCCCAGGAGTGCTCTGCCCAGGAGTGCCAGCCCAGCCCTGCTGTGGGAGCACGTGGGGCTCTCTGGGGAGCAGGCTGGCCCTGACCCCAGCAGGAGATGCAGTTCAGGGACCTCCCCAGATGGGGGTGTCCTGCCGAGGTGCACCTGCCTGTCTGCTGGTGGCTTGGCTTCCTAACCCCATGGCAATCCTGCTGCACGCTTCTGGAAGTTTCCACCAGCAATCCCGTGAGCTCTGGGTCTGCACTTCAGCTATCTGCATGGAAAAGGACACCTGCTTTGTAAGTAACCCGCGTGTCTGTGGCCCCAGTTCAGAAGCAGGGTTGTCCCTGAAGCTGCCGGTGGCCCTGGGTTGCTGGGAGCAGACGGTCAGCACAGTACAGCAGTGTTCCCGCCCAGGGCAAAGCCAGGACAAGGCCTTATAGGCCAGGAGAGGGGAGGGCGGTGGCTCCCTGCTAGGCCACCAGACGGAAGGTAAACAGCGCTGGGGGCTGGTCGCTCCTGTCTCCAGGCAAGAATGCACAGGCCGCGCCCCAGGCAGGTGCGTTCCCCACGGAGGGTTCTGCCCTCTGAAGGCCACCCACACAGGTGGTCTCTTCAGTGGCTGAGAGGTCACAGGCTGCTGCGTTCCCCATCCTTACACAGCTCTGACCGCCTGGTGAACTTGGGCTGTGCACACAGAGGGGTGTCTCCACACAGCAGAGCGTCATGTCCACCGTGTCCCGTGACTGTCTGCCTCACGTATCGGAGAAAGGTGGCTGGAGCCAGTTCTCACCTCGGGCTGCCTGTCGGGGGCAAAGGTGCCCTGGAGGGGCCTCACATCATTGTCCTCAACCCGTCTTGTCCCGCCCACCTGGACGCACCCTGACCCTGAACAGCTGCCCCATTGTCAGCCCCCAGGTGGCCATTCTTAGCCCCTGGACACCTGCTCTTTCATGCCCACTGAGTACAGGGCAGAGGGTCTCAGCCCCAGATGCACAGTGTGTGTGTGTCGTGGAGGGGGACAGAGAAACGGTCAAAATCCTGAGACACACTCTCTGCTGTTATGCGTGTGAACGTGTGCTTGCATTGCACACACACATATGTGCTGTGTATGTGTGTGCACACGTTTTGCACACGTGTATTGTGTGTACATGTCCTGTACATGTGCTTGATGTGTGTGTGTGTGCATATGTATGTGCAAGCGAGTGTGTTGTGTGGGTGTGCATGGGAATGTATGTGTAAGCCCATGTGTATGTGTGTGTATGTGTGTGTGCGCGTGTGCATGTGTGTATGCGTGTGTGTGCATGTGTGCATGTGTGTGCATGCGTGTGTGCACATGTGCATGTGTGAGTGTGTGCATGTGTGTGCATGTGTGTGCATGTGTGTGTGTGCATGTGTGTGCACGTGTGCGTGTGTGTGTGCACATGTGCGTGTGCCTATTTAAGGGTGCACAAGTTGCTCCGGCAGGCTGGCAGCGTGTGTCCGTGGAGCGGTGGGAGGCGCTCGCCAGGGCAGCCGAGATCTCCATGGTGGCTCCAGTCTGGTGGGGCCTAAAGGGCTCGCCAGGCCTCCCGTTATGCAGCCTGGCTCCCACGTGGCTCTCAGAGGGCTCATTCCTTGGAGGAGCTGTTAAGAAGCCCAGGTATAAAGGGACCCGGAGGAAATAGGACACGGCCCACATGCCGCTCACCCCCATGCAGAGGCCACCCTGCATGACCCCATGTGTCACCTTCACACCCCTGGGCAGGCATGGCGCCTGCCTCACAGCCTGTGGGCACCCTGGCCTGAATTCCTGCCATGCTTCAAGTGCCACCTGGACCAAACAGCCAGTGACCAGAGTCAAGGGGCCACCATCCACCGGGGAACAGGGAGACGAGCAGGAGCTGGCCTGGCAGGCGGAATCTGTGGCTTCATGGGGCCACTGTCCCCACCAGGAGCTTCAGAGTATCTGCCTCTCCCTGACCTCACAGGAGCCCCACAAGCCATGCTGGCTGCCCCCTGAAGAGCAGCTGACGACCTCGAATGGCAGGCCTCACACCAGAGCCCCCCCTTCCCCGCCGGGCAGCCTAGGGCTGCCAGCTGGGACGGCGGCAGCTGCCCGGGGAGCTGGGAGCTTTTGATGTGCGTCAGTGCTGAGCTGGCCAGGAGGGGCTCACGCCGGGTGCTCAGCAGCCACCGGGAGTCACGGTGACATCACAGCTCTGGGGGTGCAGTCAGGGTCCTGCAGGAAGACAGGGGAGGCTGCACGCAGCCCAGTGCTGTGCCCACACCCATGTCTCCCCAGGAGCTGGGTTTTTAAAAGTAGTTTCCACGATACAAGCACCAGGTCAGTCCCCCGAGAGGAGGTGGAAGCCAGAACTGTCTCCCACGACGGGCTGCCCTGACGCCCCCCAGCAGTGGACCAGCCACCGCGTGGCCACCAAAGGACTCCAGCTCCAGCTAATTGAGGGGCTTGGCAGGAGCTCTGGTCACAGCTGGAAACCTGCAATTTCACTGAGATGAAAGGGTTCTCAAAGGATCCTCCTGAGAAACGCGGCGGCCAGGAGGGGCGGGAAGAATGCTCACTTCTGGGGTCCCTACGGGGCGCTCCAGGGAGCCCCAGGCGTGAGTGCAGCACTTACCTGGGAAAGAGCCAGGTTTGAGTCCCGCTATGTAACCCCACGTGTGTCCCCTCCCGCCCTCCCTTCGTCACCGACCCCGCCCACCCAGGAACAGAAGACGTGAGTCATCTCCGACATTCCACGCTTTATCCTTGCAAAGGCCTCCCACGAAGGCAGCTCCCCACACCCCGCCAACCTACCCTGAGTCAGTCAACAGCCCAGGCACCGTCCAGGTGCCCCCGCCAGCAGGTTGCCCCCAACTCCTGGCAGCAACTGCCCCCGACAGCCTGACCTGCCTCCCTCAGCTCACCTCTGCAGACGCCCTCTGCTCCTCAGCTCAGACACCCCACCTTGGCTGACGGCTGAGCTCCAAGACGGCCCCTCTCCCCAGGCTGGAGGGGGCATGCCTGGGCCACAGCTCCCAGTCTGGGGAGGGGACTCTGCTGGTGATCAGGGCTGGCTTTAAACATTGAGGACAGACTCACTTGTGTTTAAAGACCCTGGGCAGAGCCTGCTCACTGGATCCCGTTCCCAGCCACAAGGAGAGCTGGGTGCCCCTGAGGTTCCTTGCTGGGGCTCTGTCCAGTCCCAGGCCAGGTGGGACCAACAGCTCCACTGACCTGTAGCCCCCTTGGGGTGCGAGGTTGGGAGCCCTGCCTAGAGGCAGATGCTCATGCCTTGGTCATCTTTGGAGGACACCTGTCCCTCCTCAGGGCTCCCAACCTGTCCCTTTTCCTCAGCCCCTGCAGCCCACCCATACCTGGTGATGTCCCGGGACAGAGGTGCCGCCCTGATGGAGGAGGCCGTCCTACCAGGTGCGATCGTGCTGTCTCCCTAAGCCAGTCTGGCTCTTCACGGACCTTGTTCCAGGTGGAGAATTCCGGGCTCAGGGAGGCTGTGGCCACTCCTGGTCACACACTCATGGGGGCAGAACTGAGATTCCCGTGGGGCTTGTTGCTCAGTCCATGTCTCCCTGCCCCTGTGGTAACAGACGGCCAGACACTCAGTGGCTGGAACATGCGGATCCATCCTCAGGCTTCCGGAGGTCGATGTCCCGACCCAGCTCTCACTGATGGAGATGAGAGTATGGGCCGCGCAGCCTTCCTCCTGCGGGCTCAGGGAGAAGCCCCTTCCCTGCCTTTTCCTGCTTCCCAAGGCCACCTGCATTCCCTGGCTCATGGCCTCTTCCTCAGTTTCAAGCCAGCCGTCGGGGGCGGGGCCCTCGTACTGCATCTGATGCTGGGTGTCCGCCCTCCCCTGCCCTCTGTGCTCACACTGGGCCAGCTGGGGAATCCAGGTGCCTCTCCACTGCCAGCCGGGTAGGGATCTGCCCCAGCTCCCCTCTGCCATGTAAGGTGAGATAGTTTCACAGGTCCCAGGATTAGGGCGTGGTCATCTTTGGGGCCACTACGCTGCGGGTCATGCTCGACTGAGCTCTGGGGATGCACATGCATGTCCATCCTGATGGGCCAGGAGGGGTAGGCAGAGCCACAGGCTGGAGACGCCTGGTTCCTAGAGCACTATCCTCATAGACAGAGGCTGACAGGAGGCTGCACGACCCGTGAGCGCCAGTGTTGATAGGGCAGTGGAGGAGGACACACTGGGATTGTTCACATAAAAATATGAGATTCCAAAAAACGGGGGCTTTGTCAGGGGCACCTGGGACACCTCCCAGATCGTTGGGGGTAGTTCACAGTCCCAAGATGAGAGTGTGCTCCAGGAAAGGGTGACCTGCCCCCAGATGGTTCTCACAGCCGTGGCCAGCAGGGGCTGGGGGTGGCAGCTGCCCGTGTTACTGCAGAGAAGAACAGGAGAGAAAGAGGAAGGAGGCCACGGGAGAGACCCGCGGAGGCTGCAGGAAGGAAGAGTGACGGAGGCTGCTGGCACGCCAAGGATCCAGACCTGCAAGGAAACAGGGTCACACAGACCCTGGAAGGAGCTGGGGTCCCAGGGGAGGGAAAGTGGAGTCTCAGCCCCGGTTGGGCTCCACCCACCCCAGAAACTCAGGCTTCCTTTCCAGCCACACCTGTGCAGTGAAGCCAGTTTCCTCCTGCCCGGGACAGCGCCCCCCACCAGAGCCTACGGCCGCGGCTGGGGTTTGTCCGGGCACCCCTGAGGCTCAGGAGTGGTGGACTTTCCGGAAGGAGCTGGCAGAGAAATGACAGAGTCCCACCCGCCTGCTTCTGCAGACCCTCCCGGGGACAAGCAGCCACTCTGGGCTCCAGTCCTGGAGTCAAGGGAACAGGAGAGGCCAGCCCAGGATGCAGTGAGGTGCCTCCTTGTCCCCTGGCTCTGGGGGTTGCTTTCTTTGGAGGTCATGACCAATGGACAGCAGGGACTGGCACCACTCACGCCTATCCCATCAGAGGCTTCTGAGCTGGGAAACCAGGGAGCTCCTTTGGTGAAAACAGATGGGATGGGAGCAGGGGAAGGACAGGATGGGAATCAGGAGGGGATGGAGGGAGGGAGGCGGGCAATGTACAGGAGAGAGGCGCCAGCCTGGAAGTTCCCCACCTGCCCTGGCGTGGCATGGCACAGCATGGCGTGGTGGGTCCTCGTGACCAGGGGCTTTCTTTGCCCTCTCTCCAAGGCTCTCGGACACCAGAGCTCAGCCAGGTCATCACAGCCTGGGGCAGTCAGGACAGGTTCTGGGGCCTGCAGCAGCTCACCCCTCCAGCATAGCACCTGGCCAGTCTGATTCCCAGGATCTTTCCTGCCTTCTCACCACTCCTGGGTTCTGGAGCTTGCCCGGGCCCCGTCGGTGTGAGGCCTGGCTCTCCTGAAGAGCCCTGAGACAGGCCCTGGCCCTGAGCTCAGCCTGGACGCTGCGGGCACGGGTGATGCCAGACGCTTTGCCGTGGTGCTGGCCTTGCACAGGTGCTGCTGGGATTCCCTGGCTGTGTGTGCCATCCTGGCATGCTGCAAGACAGGCATCTCTCAGAGTCTGGGCAGGAAACAGATGGCCCACTCATTGGGGGTGTTTGAAGAGATTTGTTCATGAAAAGAGCATTTTCAGAGATGTTGGCAGGTTGAGGGAAAAACACCAAGGGGCCTGTGGTAGTGGAAGGTGTGACCACCCCCAGGACCAAAGAAGCAAAGGAAAGAGAGTTGCTGCCAGAGCTGGGGTCAGAGCCCCGGGGAGGGACCACCTGGCAGGAGGGTGTGCTCCTGGAGGGATGTGGTCAGAAGGCCCCTCCTGTCCTGTCTGTCCTTCCTGAATCTGATGTCCTGCTACCATCTTCGATTGGCTGAAGCCCCAAACAGAAGCCCAAAGGTGAAGGAGCCTAGTGGGAGAAGTCACCTGCCTAGCAGGCAGCTTTCTGAAGTGCAGTACCGGTGGCAAGAAGAGGGATGGAGAGAGGATGTGGGGCAACCAGAAATATCCAGTCCTTACCTCTGAGAGTAGTAGCTAGGTGGTGGTGGTGATGGTGATGGTGATGGTGATGACAGTGACGGTGATGGTGGTGATGGTGATAGTGGTGATGGTGGTGATGGTGATGATGATGGTGGTGATGGTGGTAGTAGTGATGGTGATGGTGGTGATGACGGTGGTGGTGGTGATGGTAGTGCTGGTGATGGTGGTGGTACTGGTGATGGTGGTGATGGTGATGGTGGTAATTGTGGTGATGGTGATGATGGTGGTGGTGATGGTGATGGTAGTGATGGTGGTGGTGATGGTGATGGTGGTGGTGATGGTGATTGTGGTGGTGATGGTGGTGATGGTGGTGGTGGTGATGGTGGTGATGGTAGTGGTGGTGGTGACGGTGATGGTGGTGGTGTTGGTGGTGGTGGTGATGGTGGTGATGGTAGTGGTGATTGTGATGGTAGTGGTGGTGGTGGTGGTGTTGGTGGTGGTGATGGTGGTGGTGGTGGTGGTGGTGGTGATGGTGGTGGTGGTGATGGTGGTGGTGGTGGTGATGGTGATGGTGGTGATGGTGGTGGTGATGGTGATGGTGGTGATGATGATTATGGTGGTGGTGATGGTGGTGGTAGTGGTGATGATGATGGTGGTGGTGATGGTGGTGGTGGTGCTGCTGGTGATGGTGGTGGTGATGGTGGTGGTGATGGTGGTGATGGTGGTGATGGTGGTGGTGGTGATGGTGATGGTGGTGGTGATGGTGATGGTGGTGATGGTGATGGTGGTGATGGTGGTGATGATGGTGGTGGTGATGGTGGTGGTGGTGATGGTGGTGGTAGTGGTGGTGGTGATGATGGTGGTGGTGATGGTGGTGGTGGTGATGCTGGTGATGGTGGTGGTGATGGTGGTGAAGGTGGTGATGGTGGTGGTGGTGATGGTGGTGGTGGTGATGGTGATGGTGCTGGTGGTGATGATGGTGATGGTGATGGTAGTGGTGGTGGTGATGGTGGTGATTGTAGTGATAGTGATGGTGATGGTGGTGATGGTGGTGATGATGGTGGTGGTGATTGTAGTGATGGTGATGGTGATGGTGGTGATTGTAGTGATGGTGATGGTGATGGTGGTGGTGGTGATTGTAGTGATGGTGGTGATGATGGTGATGGTGGTGATTGCAGTGGTGGTGATGATGATGATAGTGGTGATGGTGGTGATTGTAGTGATGGTGATGGCGGTGATTGTAGTGATGGTGATGGTGATGGTGGTGGTGGTGATTATAGTGATGATGATGGTGATGCTGGTGATTGTAGTGATGGTGGTGGTGGTGGTGGTGGTGATGATGGTGACGGTGGTGATTGTCGTGATAGTGATGGTGATGGTGGTGATTGTAGTGATGGTGATGGTGGTGGTGGTGATTGTAGTGATGGTGATGGTGATGGTGGTGATTGTAGTGATGGTGATGGTGGTGGTGGTGATTGTAGTGATGGTGGTGATGATGGTGATGGTGATGATTGCAGTGGTGGTGATGATGATGATAGTGGTGATGGTGGTGGTGGCAGTGGTGGTGTTGGTAATGTTCCCACTGCTGGAAATAAAGCTGGCCATTTTCTAGAGAAAGCTCATGACATTTGCTATCTGCTTTCCAACCACCTGCAGAAATCATCCTCTGTGCTCCCCATTCCCATCCTGATGAGGCTGCCTGCATGATCAGGGTGCACTGGACCCCAGGAAGTCAGCACAGGCCAGGATGAGTCCTCAGCTCACTGCCCAGCCATGGCCCACACTTCTGTCACTGCATCCTGGTCTTTCCCCAAACTGTTGACCACAGGCCACACACCCTGTGACCAGCTCTGTGCCCACTGCTAACCCATTGGCATTTGGGTTCCTTATGTGCCAAGGCCTTGATAAGCACTCACAGGAAGTTGTCTCTGGTGGAGCTGCCCTCCCAGACCCCCTCCTGCCCTCTCCTACCCCAGCCGTGGTTCACCTGAGGATGTTCACTTCCTCTTCTTGCCCCTCAGACCCTCTCGGACCTCCCTCCCCTCCCCTAGAGGCACAACCTGGCCTAAGGAGTAGCTTCTCTGCCCACAGCCAGGAGGTAGAAGGTGAGTCTCTCTTGACATATCTGGTGTCCCCGGGGTCGGGGGATGCTTGCCTGCTGCTGATGGAGCACCCACAACTGCCCAGCCTGCACACACGCACTCACTGTTCCCTGCCTCTGAGGAGTGCGGCCCCAGAGGGCTCTGTGTGAGGTCACTCGATCACTCTTGAGACAGCGTCTCAGTCTGTTGCCCAGGCTAAAGGCAATCTCGGCTCACTGCAACCTCTGCCTCCCGGGTTCAAGTGATTCTCCTGCCTCAGCCTCCCAAGTAGCTAGAATTAGAGGCGCCTGCCACCATGCCCCACTAAGTTTTGTATTTTTAGTAGAGATGGGGTTTCACCATGTTGGCCAGGCTGGTTTTGAACTCCTGACCTCAAGTGATCCACCTGCCTCGGCCTCCCAAAGTGCTGGGATTACAGGCATGAGTCACTGCACCCGGCCTACACCAGACTTAAGTACACACACACACACACAAAAAAAAATATACATGCAGGCTGCACACTCCACATACACACGTACACACACACATACACACACAAAAAAACATACACACACGTGTGAACTCTTATGCACAAACATATAAAATATGCACTCACACAACACAGAGCACATGTACATAACATACAAACACACACATATGCTGAACCACACACAGATACACACGCATGCACACAATGCTCATGCATATACACACAGCACACACAAATCACACATGCATGCACCATGCTCACAAGCACATACAAACAACACAGGTACACATACTCTCAAACGCACAAACATCCATACACACAGACACAACCCCCGGCATTTTTGCATCACGCTGAGGGTGGGGTGCCAGTGTCCATGCCAGAAACTGGGGGATAGGAGCCTTCTCACCTAATTTCTTCCTGATTTCAGGACCTGGGCCACAGGAGCAGCCTCACCATCAGACTGCGGCCCCCTGTGGTGGTCAGGGTTCCTGGGGGGTGGCAGGGCTTCTGCTGACAGAGAGAGGGACGTGCAGGCTTACCCATGACCAGCGTGTCTCCAGTCTCGGGAGACCGAGGAGGATTTTGAATCCTTGGGAGGACTCAAAATCAGCCCCGGAGTCCTGAGGGACATTTCCCTACAGGGTGGGGACAGTGGGGGGAGATGCCAGATAAACATTTGCAAGGCTTTTCCTGGGTCTCAGGAATTAAAAAGAGATTTGTCATGGCAGTGAGGACTCTCTGTGACTCCTGGGTGTCTTTGCAGCCCCGCTCGCCCCTGGCCTCCGGACTGTGTCCCCAACTGCTTCCTTCAAGCGGACATCCAGCAAACGTCTCACGGGAGACACATCCCTCCTGCCTGAGCGCACAGCCGCTCCCGCCTCCCATCCCTGCACACGGCCCTCCCCCTCTCGGGGGGTGACAGATCCATCCTTCCAGTTGCTCAGAGTGAGCCACATTCTCCTGGTTTCCAGGAACCCCACGGGCTCTGTCATCGGAGAGCATCCGGATTCTGCCCACTTCCCCGCCTCTCTGGCCTGGATGACTGCACGAGACTCCTACGGTTTCCCATCCACCCCCGCCGCCGTCTGTGCTCCACGCAGCAGTCGAAGGAGCTCCACGCTGCTGGGCTCACAGCCTCCAGTGACTGTCTGAGCAAGGGCTGCCAGCAGCCAGGTGGAACTGCAACCCCGGCTCCCAGCTGCCCTGTCAAAGCTCTCAGGCCGCCCACGTACTATGAGATGCACTTCTTCCCCTCCCTTTGCTCCCCGACTAGGGCATCTACTCTGCGTAGGTGCAGGCTTTGTCTGTTTTGCTCAATGGTGAGGAGGAGAACGAGGAGGTAAGGACGAGGAGGCGCAGGATGACGCAGTGCCCAGCCCCGGCGGCTCAGAGGAGGTGCTTAGTAAATATTTGTTGAGAGAATGAATGCATGGAATGCATTTCTATTTCCAGCCCCAGCCAGGCTCCTGGAAGTGCAGAAACAGGAGCAGACTTGCAAAGGAGGATAAAGCCCGGACGTGGAGGGCTCGAGGTGGGCTTGGACTGCTGGAGGTGCTAAGAAACAGTTTCCTTCCTCCTCAGATCTCTCCGCAGCCTGCGACAGGCCAGGTTTCCCAAGCAACTCATCTGGCTGGGTTAAGAGGGGCCAGAGAGGGTCTGGGGTGGGGGAGGGAAGGCTGAGGCCCCAGCTTGTCCCTGTAGCTGCTCCGGTTCCAAATGCCTGGAAGCCTGGACTCGTTCCCACCCAGCCGAGGCAGGCTGCAGAGAGCTGACTCCTTTAAGCCGGCCCCGGCGTTTACCCCAGAGCCACAGGTTCTGCCCCGGCTGCCCTGAGGCTGGCCTCATGGGGGTGGCGCCCCCCACCCCCACAGCGTGCCCCTCCCCTCCACGCAAGCGAGCCCAGCCTGGCCCCCTCACAGTCACGTGTCCCTCGCGGAGGCCACTCCACGAGTCACAAGGCAGAGTTTCCATTGGCGTCAAACGTACGTGGATGCTGGATCTGGGATGGACAGGAGCCAAGAGGGGAAAAGCCAGTTTTAGAAAATTCACATGCCTGGGGGTTACAGAGGGCAGACCCCCGAGGGCACCACATCCCCATGGCAGGGGTGGGAATGGCCCTTGGGGCATAGACCCAGTACGTGTGCACACTCTCCCTCTCTGTCCATCACTCCCACACACACATGCACACGCACACGCAAGCACACACATGCACACATGCACACACACGTACACACACTCCCCACTGACTGAGGAGGCCACACAAACCCAGGCCTGAGCCCCAGCCCACTGCCTGCAGGTTCAGACACTTGGGCACGTTTCTCAGCCATTTGGAGCCTCAGTTTTCCCATCTGGGAAATGGGGACAGTGATATCTCAGAGACACTGTAGCCATCACCGGAGGGGACCACAGACCACTCTCGGAGGGGGTGCCAGGCATCGTGTTCGCATCTGGTGAGGAAGGGTCTAGCCTGACCCTTGGCTTCCTCCATCCCAGATGTCCCTTGAGGCATGTGGCCTGGGGTGGGGGATCCGGAGAGGAAGAGAGACAGGCCAGGATGCACGGTGACCCCAGGTGAGGCCCACAGACCCGGGTAGATGACCACCACTCCCACTGGAATCCTCAAGACTGGAGCAGCCAGGAAATTCTGTCCAAGCCGAGTCCCTGGGTTTGCGAGACCTTGCACTCCACCTCACAGGGGTCGTCTGGGTTTGTGGTCTCTGGCCAGGTGGGTGTGGGAGCCTCTCTCCTCCAGCTCAGTCTCACACTACACCAGAAAGGGAAGGGCAAGAGCACTCCCTCGACCCAGAAGACCCCCAGATCAAGAGACCACCCAGGCTACAATCAACTCCGATGGCACTTTTAATCACCCCAGCAGGAATGGCGACTGTAAACAGACTTTCAACAACTTCCAGAGACACACACACCTCCCGGGCAAAACTGTGTTTCCATAAACCTTGTAGAAATGACTCGGAGAGCTGGCTGAGTGAGGGCCGCCTGGACACCAGTGTGCAGGCACCGAGTCCTCAGCACCGCCACACTCAGCCGTCCTGCGAGCCCCAGACCCTGGAACACTCCAGCTGCCTCTCCATTTGTCTAGTGGGATGTTTCCTCCCAGTGCCCCCATTACCCCACACCCCCGTCTTCTTCTGGGCTCCCGGTGGCTCCCCCAACACTTGCTCTGCTGATGGGTGCATTCTCCCCAAGTCTGGCCGTGAAGCCATCCTGGTTGCCTCGGTTTCCCCTGCTGGCCAGGCAGTCACCAGCTCCTCAGTGGGAATGCCACTCTTTGCCACCACCCGGCCTGGGCTCAGTGGGATGCCTGCACCTCCCCATGTTGCACTCCTCCAGCCCATTCTCTGGACACTCGGATGAGAACAAGGCTACTGGTCAGGGGTGTGAGGGCAGGGATCAGCCTCAGAGACCATCCCATCTCTGTGAGTGTCCTGCAGCTGCCAAGCAAAGTGCCACCAAAGGGGCAGCTGAGACCAACAGAAATGTATTCCCTCTTGGTTCTCAGGCCAGAAACCCGAGCTCAAGGCGTCAGGAGAGCCAGCCCTCCTCTGTCAGCTCCAGAAGAGAATCCGTTTCTCGCTTTCCCAGCTTCTGGTGTTGCTGGCAACCATTGGCATTCTTGACTTGTGGCTGCACTGCTCCCATCCCTGCCCCCGGAGTCACGTGGCCTTCTCCCTGGCCTTGCTGTGTGTCCCCTCCTCTTATAAGACTCCAGTTACTGGGTTTAGGGTCCACACAAATCTAGTAGGACCTCACCTTGACTTAATCACATCTGCAAAGGTCCTTCTTCCAAATAAGGTCACGTTCCCCATTTCTGGGTAGATGTAAGTTTAGGGGGGCCGCTATGTAGCCCAGTGCCATCCTCCTACAGACCCCAGGATGGCTGAGGAATCCAGTCTCAGCTGAGATGCATCAGGCTGCTTAGGATCAGAGCCTGGACCACACTGAGCACTCACATTCTCTCCTGATATTCTTTCAAGCATGCCAGTAACGTCTGTTCCTGGAAACCCCAGGTCAATCCCCACCACCAGTGCTCCTGCTGCCTGGAGAAGAAAATGCTCCAGACCCCTCCTTCCCAGCCTGCTGGGTTCCCTCCAACCCAGGCCCAGCCCCCTTCTCCAGGGATTGATAAGACGCCATTTCCAGATATATTGTTAAGTGGCAAAAGCAGGCAGCAGTACGCAGTGACCCGTCTTGTGCGTAATAAAGTGTAAAAATATGCATATGTGCGTGTTTATTTATAGATGCAAAAGAAAAGCACTGGAAAGATAAATCAGAAACTAATAAAAATGGTGACTTGACGTGTGTGTGGAGTTAGAAATGGAAGCTGCCCTGAAGATAAGTTGTCTTTAGTGTTTGACCCAGAACTATGTGAACGTTTTCCATATTCAAAACAATTTGAATGTGTTAAAATTTAAGTTTAAAAGAGAACATCCTTAGAAAATGAAAACAATGAAAGTGGAAATTTATATAGAGTTTGTGACATAACTGAAACAAACACAAAATTATTTCAAGTGGCTTTAGAGTACAGAATTTAGACTTTTTTTTAAACTGGTGGCATGTATTTTAATGGCAAGGAAATCAAATGTATCGTTCAGTAGGTCTTAGTGTTAAGTTTGGCATCGTTATTTAAATTTTTTCCTCTTCTAGGATAAAGTCAGTAAGTAATTATGTGAATGATGTAAGGAACCAAAATTATTATTACTGAAAGAGAAAAAAATACACAAATACAAAATCCAATAGGTTAAGAGTAGCACTGTCATCTTAAATTTGAATTGGAAATGTGAATGTAATCTCATAACTTATTTATTCATTCTGATTGACGATTGATTGATTGAGACAGGGTCTTACTCTGCTGCACAGGCTGGAGTGCAGTGGCATGATCTTGGCTCACTGCAGCCTTGACCTCCCGGGCTCAAGCCATCCTCCAGCCTCAATGTCTTGAGTATTTGGGACCACAAGTATGCCAATACACCTGGCTAATTTTTGTGTTTTTTGTAGAGATGAGTTTCACCATGTTGCCCAGGCTGGTCTCAAAACTCCTGAGCTCCAGCAATCCACCCGCCTCAGCCTCTCAAAGTGCTGGGGCTCCAGGCGTGAGCCATTGAGCCCAGCTAATCTCATGAAAGTGCTGGGATTGGCCAGGTGCGGTGGCTCACACCTGCAATCCCAGCACTTTGGGAGGCCGAGGCGGGCGGATCACGAGGTCAGGAGATCAAGACCATCCCGGCTAACACAGTGAAACCATGTCTCTACTAAAAATACAAAATCTTAGCCGGCCATGGTGGCGGGTGCCTGTAGTCCCAGCTGCTCGGGAGGCTGAGGCAGGAGAATGGCATGAACCCGGGAGGCGGAGCTTGCAGTGAGCTGAGATCACGCCACTGCATTCCAGCCTGGGCAATGGAGTGAGACTCTGTCTCAAAAAAAAAAGAAAAAAAAGAAAAAAGAATTTCATCCGCACACCAGCAACAAAGCACTCACAGCAAAAGACCTGACACTGTTAATTTTTTATGGAAATAAGAGATATCATACAGTTCTCCTATTTTCTATGTTTGGAAATTGTCATCATAAACAGAGGGTGTGCAAGGCTAGGGAATGAGGGGCCCTGTCCCCACCTGCGGCATCCCTGCTTTGTTTGCTGAAGCTCTCGTCCCCATCCCCGAGGTCTCACTCTGGTTATGGCCCCAGCCTTTTTCCTCCCCTCCTTCCTGCACCCTTGCCAGCTGCTTGGCGCCGGTGAAGTGTGTTTATCAAAGCTCCTGGCCCAGCCTTGCTGACTCAGAGAACCTGATGAAGGAGGGGAGAGTTGAGGAAGAGAAGGTGCAGCCGGGGGTCACTGGGGCTGGAGGGCCTCAGAAGCCACTGGCAGGAGGAGTGCCCTGGCTCTGTGCTCTGGGAACGAAACTCAGCCTTCCTCTCGCTGCTTGCTTGTCCCTGGAGTCAGGGGCGTGTCTCCCACCACACGGAGGCAACGCCCACATGTGTCCCCAGTTGCACTGAGATACGCCCAAGGGTGGTACCCGCAAGGTGCACACACCGGTGACAGGTGACGTGCCCAACAGCAGCTAAGCTGGTACACTGGTGTGTGGGGGAGGGGTAACACCAACTGGATTTTCCCCACTGACCTCGCCTGGACATCCCCCACACTGAGACTCAAATCGTCTCTCATTCCTGATGTCTCATCTGCTGACTGGCCGTGACGTCTAACTGGTCGTCCTTCTCTCTTTCCCAGTGTTTTCCTGCCAACAGGAATTGAGATCTAAAGGTCTGAGAGGCTCAGCTTCACTGCTGAACCAGAAGAATGAGATTCAGGTGGGAGATCCCAGGCACTGGCTCCCCGGGCTGGCCTCCCCCAGGGCTGGCCTATCTCAGGGCCTGGTCAGGGCTGCAGCTGCCCCACCCCAAGGCTCACCCCTCCCTAGTGCGGGGATTTGGAGCCTGACCTTGTCTCACTGGTGGGAGGGGACAGAGCAACATTTTAAAGCAACAGGGGACATGAGGCATCCATGCATTTCACTCGGATGTTTAGGAGATAACCTTGCAAGTGTGCAGATTCCCTTATGACAATATTCCCTGCAAGTGTCATAAATATATAATAGTGAAGAGTCAAAAACAACCCACATTTCCTAAAGCAACCCTGAAATAAGGCCATGTCATGTCAGAAAGGAATATTTAATGACACAGAAAAATGCTCTGATACATTAAATTGGAAAGGGAAGCAGGTGTACAGGATGGCTCCAATTTGTATTACACTCTATTATGAAAAATAAGCTGGAAGAAAAGACACGAACATTTGTCAGAACTGACATCTGCCGGACTGTGGAACGGAAGGCGACCGTCACCTGTGTTCCATAGGACTTTCCTGTATGACTGCACGACTAACAGCGCGTCTCCCTCACTCCGGTGCTGTTCTCGGAATCCTGTCTAGAGCTATACAGGTGACTCGTGGGTATTACGATTGACACTTTGCAAAAGAGGAAACTGAAATTTAAATATGAAGGCAGCCCATCTGGGGAGCAGCTGAGTCAGGATCCCAGCCCAAGGCTCTGCAACAACAGCACCCCAGAGGCACCATGTGGCTTGGGGACCCCTGCACATGCAGCTTCCCCACCCTGAGGCTTCCAGTGGGATTTGTCTGGGTGTTGGGAGCTCTAACCATGAAACGGCTCCTCTATACCCAGCTCCATGGGTGAGGAGCGAGGTTTGTGCCCCTCGGGCCCTGACAGTGCCCAGGCCAGGGGGCCATTCCTGGGAGTGCCCAGCCAGCCCCGAGCCTCAGCAAGTCCAGCAGAGCCCATGGATGTTGGGGATCCCAGTCTTCCACTCTGCATGCCTGGGGTAAGCCTCGAGGTGGGGCAGCTGCAGCCCTGGCCGGGCCCTGAGAGGAGCCAGCCTGGGGAGCCAGTGCCTGGAATCTTCCACCTGACTCCCACTCTTCTGGTTAAGCACTGGCTTCTTCTGCTTAGGTCCCTGGAAATAAGAGACACTTTAGAGAGGGGATCACATGTTTGGTCTCCCTGAGCCCCGCTGGGTGCTTTCCATGCATCGTCTCCTTGTACCACCCACTTTACAGATAAGAGGACCTAGAGTGCGGACCTGGCCAGGGTTACATGGGGTGCAAGGACCAGGCAGGATCTGAACACAGGCCTGTCCGTGATGAAGTCCTGTGAGCACCAACCACAGTGGTGACCAGAAGGCAAAAGGAGCATTTGAAGCCAGGGATGTGCAGATGGAGGCCAGCACCCAGGAGAGTGGCCTGCATGTGGTGGCCTCAGCTTCCAGGAGGTCCTGTGGGCACAGGGCTCTGGGCTGACTCAGAGCTGGTGGATGCAGAGGTTAGCTCCCTCCCATGCATAGCCAGGCTCTGACCCAACTTTAGGCCCTGGGGACAAGAGGGGCTGGGAGAGCCCTGCCCACCCAGGGGGCAGGCAGTCACCCCAGCGTGGAGCCTGGTTCTGCCCTCGGGAGGTAGTTCCTTTGGTTGGACCAGAATGTCTGCTGCTGATCAGGAGAGGGCCAAGGGGTAGGGGGTGTCCCATGCGCACCCTGAGAATTGCACCAGGCTCAGGGAGCAACCTCAGCCCTCCTCGTGCAGAGCTGCAGCGGACAGTGCCAGCCCTCGCTGGCCCTCACACACGCAGGATGCCCCCAACACAGCTTGAGGCCTTGCAAGACATTGGGAACCAGGACATCTAAACCCTGTTGGCTTCCGCGGTGTCAGAGCCTCACCCCAACCAGAAGGCGCGTCGGGGACGTGGTCATGTGGTGTCTCCCTGAGCTAAGAGTGACTCGGGAGGCTGCAGTCAGACCAGGGTGACCTGGCCTGCCGAGTGACGGTGCTCAAAGAAGGACCCTTCAGCTCCTCCCTGCCAGGGGTGGGGCGGAGTCTCCCAGGGGTCCTCTCTGGGAGTAGGAGGCCTGAGGGGCAGGAGTGGGGTCCCAGCAGCCTCTCCCCCGGTGGCAAGGTGTGTATGGCTGCAGAAGCCCTGGTTCTGTTTCCTTGTCTCTGACATGGGGCTGATGGCAGTGCTTCCCCTCCTCGGGGAAGACAGAGGCACAGATGGGGAGAGGCGGCCAACAAGCCCTGGAGCACCAGAGCCGCCAGGAGCTGCAGGAGGCAGGAGGGACGCCCCTCAGCCTTCATGGAGAGTGTGCCTCCATCTTGGTCCTCTGGTGTCCAGAGCTGGGAGAGAAGACCTTTCTGTTGTTTTAAACCACTCACTCTGGGGCACTTTGCTAGGGAAGCCCAGGAAACTCGGCAAGCATGGAGCTGGAGCCACCTGAATGACTCACAAGCAAGGACAAGAGGAGTGGACCCCGGGCATTCGGGGAAAGCTTTGAAAGATCCGCCTGCTCCCTCGGCACGCAGAAGAGGTCTTAGGGAGGGGCTGAGGGGTGTCTGCTCTGTAGGAGCAAGCTCGTGAACCTGGGGCTGGAACGGCAAGGCCCCAGCAAAGCCAGAGCCTGGGATGGGGAGCTGAGGGTGCAATCATCTTGTCCCTGGGAAGGTGATGTAGGGATTCCCAGCCTCGCAACACATCCATCATCTGGGAGTTACCTGAACTATGTGGAAATGCAGATCTCCAGGCTCCCACGAGCGGCTTTGGGACAGAGCCCAGATGGGTGCATTTAGCAGCTCCCGCCTGACTCGGATGCAGGGCAGACCCATGGCACCTCCCGGTAGGTCAGCACGTCTGAGGTCACTGGGCCAGCGCAATGCTCCCCTTT